TCCTAAGATGGAGCGCCACGACATGCCTAGGGCCAAGGGCCTAGGCATCTTACGGGCGGCACAGGTTGGAGCGAGCCTGAGGGCGAGCCCAACCGACAGGCACAGGATCGTGCTTGGGAAATCCTGGGACGGATTGGAAGGCTGGCCTGCAGCGAGGGGAACTGCAGGCGCCGCACGGGCGAGCAGGTGCCGCTACCCAATGTAAGAAAATGGGCCCGTGACAGGTTGGTTTTGTTAATTTTTGGGGAAGATAACTACTACTATTTACTGTATTTGTACGTGTCAAAACAAGTCGACGGTCCACGTGATAAGATGTAGTAACAATTTAAACTGGTATATATGTACAAGTTTACGGGGAAAAAAAAAATATATATGTCATGGTATATGTTAAGCATGAACAGTTAATTTTAAAAAGTGGTTAAGTAACCTGCTAAAATTAGTTAAGTCCTACTTTATAGTAGCATGACTATATTGTATGTTGTATTAACTTATTGCTAGTAAGTATGAACATATTGTATGTTACGTAACTTGAATGCTTACCGTATTACACATATTTCATGACAGTCATATTGTTTACTTTAATGAACTTTTGAGAATCCAAACCTTGAGATTGAGACTTAAATATATTTGCAGCCGAGACAAAGTTTGTTGCATTCTCCAAGAGAGTTGTACTAGTGCTGAGTATAATTTATGCCTGAGAAGTACATCGATATTGGGTACTTGACTTTGTCAGTGGGATACCGTGACTAATTTCGAAGACCATTTAACTTATTTTGATAAGTATTTCTTTTCAAAAATAATTTTGGTGATGAGCAGTTTGTGTTTGGCTAATTAATTTGACAAGCACTTTTAAACAGCAATTAGTGTTTGATCAAACTTTTTAAAACTGTTTCTAAATATATTTTTCTCAAAAGTCCATTTCAAAAAGCGTTTTTAGAGAGAAACTAATCTTTTTTGCTTCTCCAAAATTGCTTGTACTTCTCTTCAAAGTACTTTTTTTCATTCCAAAAGCTTGAACACTTCAACTTTGAAAAAAAACAGAGTTGAGAAGTTTGATCAAACAGACTATTAGTAGTCGTTTGGATATAAAAATTGTAATTTTTGAAAAAAGTAGTATTTAAAATTAAGTTGAAAATTGATATTTGAAATTTAAAATTATATTTTGACATGTATTTCACATGAAAAAATGTTACAATTTTGTGAGCGAGAATATTTTTTGAAAAAGTGGAACTCATTTTCTAAAAATTTAAAAAAACAGCAAAATTTCATGGACAAACATATTTTTGAAAAAAGAGATATTTTTTATGAACAAACGGGGCCTTATGACTAATTTCGAAGACCAATTAATTTCTAGCAAGTACTATATCAAAGATTAAAAAAAATACTTAAAATTTGAGTAGATTAAACAAATGAATTCACATTTAACTTCCAAACTGTAAAATGACAGGACTCTGTTTACATTAATCCTCCTTATTAATTTGCCTTAATCAATTCATATAGTTATGAAATCAAAAGAAAAAACTAAAAGAATTGAGATGGTTACAGTAAACTATTGAAGTATGGCACACCAGTCAGTGGCAACCAATCATCTCCAACTAGAAAACCAGATACTGTAAAATTAGCAGCATCAGTAGCATTTAAATTTTGGATTGCAGGCCATGTAACTCTGCCTGTTGTATTTGATCCCGGTCCAGTGTTATTAAACTCTGCATAATAAGACGTGTTTAGCGCGAAATCTCCAGACCAATCATGCCAACCTGATGGGTGAATAAAACCATCCATATAAGATTGCATGTAAATCGTCCTCGAATACTCCTTCCATGGCCTACCAAGATATGTTTTAGTGCTACTATTGCTAATTGCCAAATCATCTGCAGGTCTAATTGTGCAATTATGGATTGAAATTCCAGTGTTTTGATTTATGTCTGTTCTGCCTTGAGCTGTTATTGCATTGAACTGATTGGGCAAAGGGAGACGTGGATACAAGTTGCAATTCTGGAAAACAGCAGCTGCATTACCAAATATGAAATCGACTGTGCCATATATGTCACACTCTCTGTAAAATTGCCTAAGAGAGTGTACGTATAATGTGTCTTGGTATGCCTCAAAGCTGCAGCTATAGAATGTGGATAAATCAGCACCGTTTCGGACTGCAACTGCTTGATGCTTGATTGCTCCTGCTGTGTTTTGGAACGTAATGTCAACTGCAACAAATCCTAGACCAACCACAGCTGCAGAAGTAACACACAACTGTTGTTAGACAACCATACTACAAATTTATAAGTACAACATTAAATTTTGGAAAATGTATTAATTTCAGCATAAACTCAGTATAACTATTCCTAGCATAACTAATTCCAGCATAACTTGTCTTCAAACAGAACGACCCCTTAGTGTAGGCTGAGACAGATGGAGCTTATATGTTATGGATTCAACTAAAGCTTGTATTTTCGACACGTAACATGTATGTATATATAAAATCAAAATTTCTACAAATATTATATTCTGAACTCATAGTACTCATTCAGCTTTTTAAATTTTGAATTCGCGCCTCTAGGATGCATTTGAAAAGGTAAGGATATCATTTAGATACTTACAAAATGTGGAAGAGTTGAATGTTGTCCATCCATCAACAAAGCTATGATTGCCTGTAATGATGGTTCGATTGATGCCATCACCAATCATCATCAAATACTTCTTGTTCTTCGCAATGGCAACATACTCCTCGTACACACCTTCTGTTATGTATATAAGGAAATACCCTGCATCAATCTTGGTATTATTTGGTGCAGCCGCCACTGCATCATTAATGGTAGTGAAATTCCCACTTCCATCTTGATTGACAATCACAATGTCACTCACGTTAACTTGGTCATTATTTTCATCCTCTTGCAAAAGCTTTCTCCTGCTTACTGTTTCCAAAATTGCTTGGTTTCGTGCCGACATTTGGAACGACAATTGGCCATTTTTGAACAGCTGTTTTTGTCTAGGTTGACGAATTTTCGGCCCATTTTTCTTCTTTGGTACCCACCCTTTTGTGAACAAAGCTAAAGAAACACTATAAAGTTTAGTGTCATTTGAAAGTGGAGCTACTAGGCCATTTCTAACACTCCAAGCAGAGGATGTTGCTTGAAGTCCATCTAAACAAGTTTGTGTGTTTGTTAAAATTGCACTGAGCATTGTTTGCACATCGTCAGCTTCTAAAACTGGGAGAATTTTGGATGTCACGTTAACAGTTTTAAAAGAACTTGACAAGTAATCCATGTTAAGCCCTGCTAGAAAATGGCAATCCTCTAGTGCACGGACAGCAGTGATTGTTAATTGTTTGGATTTTCGAAGGTATTTTTGGATAAGGGACAAGAATTTACGAGCTGAAGATAATGATTTTCGGACAGATTTTCGACCGTAGCCATAGACATTTTCATTGGGACTCCCTGTAGGTGGAAGCACCGATGATCTACAGAAGGAAGGATAAGGAGTGGATTTGCAAATAACAGAGGGAGGTACAGGAGTATTTGGAGGAACATCAGCAGCAAAAGATTGAGAAAATAAGATTGGAATAAGCAGAAAAAGAGTAGTGCAAAAAAGGGTGAAATGAACAAAAAAGAAGTTAGAATTTTTTGCCATGGCTTTTGACATGAACATGAAATGGTGATTAGCTAGTGTATGATTTTTTGTGCAATGGTTTGATGGATATTAACATATATATACCTAAAGAAATGGAAAGCCAGCTTAGGTAAAAGCCTAGTTGTAATTCTTTTTGCTACGTGAAGAGGAACGGTGGCAGAAGACTTGATAGTACGTAGTAGTAAAGTATTGAATAAAAATGGGATCGAAGTCAACCAGTTAATTGCATGGCCATTTTCTTCAAAGCGCGTCCATCTTGAATGCATTGATTGGGTTCAAACAAAGAGATGCAAATGTATTGTCTGCTGCCGTACTCCACCCGGTTCACTTTGATTAATTTTTGTTTTTATTTTCACACACGAATTCATCTTTTAGTATTAATTAACAATAAAATAAACTATATTAATTTTAATTTGTTCATTAAAAATATAACAAATTATCCTAGGTTCTCTATTTGCTAGAATTTGTTTGTGCATCATTTGTCAACGGAGTTAGCACATGCCAACTTGGTTTAGTTATATAAGCACTTCTTTTTAATTTGTTACGGTCTGCACTTGTATGTCACGCTTGTTACCATCACCGAAACATGTATAAATAATTCTCTATATATATATATATCAGAGTTTACGCAAATAAGAATAAATTACCTAATGATTTTTCTTTATCCACACCCTTGAATGCTGATATATATNAGGCTAAATGACTAAATAAAACAAGTCAGTCCTCGTAAACAGCCTAATGTTTGTCGCCTCTAGCTGAAGTGCACTTTAATGAGTTCAAATGCTCAGAAAATATTTCTAAACAACAAGACACCAATAAGAACACTAATATACAAGGTTCTTTTGTAAAGAGCTAAATATATTTAAGATTTTTAATGACGGTTAATGATTAAGAGCAAATTCCAACTTCGCAGCCGGAATTGTTGAAATTATTGAATTATTTCCCTCAAACTCTATACAAACAAATCATTAACTACTAATGTGTGACAGTGATGACAAATATTGCATCATTTATAATTTTATATTCGAAGTGGTTCAGATTACTAAATTATATATGTGAAAAACTTGTATTTGAAGTTAAACTTCATGGCTAGCTAGTTAGTTTTGAATTGTTGAAATCAATTAAACAATATTTTCAAGTGATTGATTTTCCCTTCGGTCAATTACATTCAAATATTACGTTCATGAGTGACAAGGATTGAAAACGACCTATACTAATTTGATACTAACAATGTAATGGTCTCATCTAAGAAGAATGTATGAGAAAGATGTGAATTACAACAATGGTATATTTTCGCAAACAGTTTGATTATTTATTAGAGCATGCAACCAAATCCGAATTAAGTTTGCGGCGAATGTGAAATATGTAGATTCCATTGAGACAAATTAAATAAATCTATATATTCACATATTTTAGGACTAAGCAAGAACAATAATGTGCTTTTGATGCAAATGTATTGTTATCGGAATAGCTCCATCCGGTTCACTTTAATTAATTTTTTGGTTATTTTCACACGTATTAACAAATTCACATTTTAATATTAATTAACAATAAAATTGACCATATTAACCGTAATTTATTCATTAAAAATATAACAAATTCTCCTAGGTTTTGTACTCCAAGGACAACTTTGAAAAAAAAAAGTTAATTCGTTCATGATATATGAAAATATTAAATATTGTGAATCATAAAAAAGGCCAAAAAAATAAATTAATGTGTACATGAAGCATTATTACTTATTAGTGCATTCCGAGTCCAATAAGGAGCATAGTACTTAAATAACCTATTTAGGATTATGGTCATTATAATGTAGTATATGCAGTTTGCTACAATTTGTTTGTGCATCATTTGTCAACGGAGTTAGCACATGCCAACTTGGTTTAGTTATATAAGCACTTCTTTTTAATTTGTTACAGTCTGCATCTTGTATGGCACGCCTGTTACTATCACCGAAACATATATATATATATATAAATAAATAATTGAGGGACATTGCCCGGTGATGTGGCAAGCCTCATTGTGCAGGAAACCCAATTATCTTTTTTGTCAATTATTTTGCTTTTATCCTACTTTTCTGTTAATCTACTATTTTTACAAATCCAAAAATCGCTTCTTCAAAAACCAAAAATCAAGTCCTTTTTCTTTTCATTCTCATTAAGAAACCAATTATGACACCCTTAAAAATCCAAACGAGCGTTATTCAATGAAAGTTGAACTTGCCCGTTTGCTTACAAAATTACAAATAACTGTTTCCTTAACCTTTTACTTTTATCTCTTCACTATAGCCTCTTAATATGTTTGAAAGTCCAAACGTCTTTATTTAATGAAAGTTAAACTTGCCTGTTTCACACCCTTTTGCTTCATTACGCAAGGTTTGTTTTGGCACTATAGTCAAATATTGTTGAATATTTGTGAAATATATTAACAAAATTATTATTTTATGCAGGATTGTCGTTGATTTAATATTCTGATTTTTGATATATTAAGTTTTCCACGGGTGAAAATATCTCCAAATTTTCCTTCTTTGCAGATTCGGCACAAAATGGTTTGCGAAAAATTCCATACAAAATTTTACCAGGGAGTTTATTAGTTGCTTTTGGGTTACTTGATTAGAATGTTTATTTTCAAATGCGTCCTGTAATTTAGGGCGATCGTCCCAAAACTTGATGAGTTTTTGTAGGCTCTTTATGATGGCGCTTGCATACTTATTTGTACTAATTAATATTTTTGGGAAATTTATTTCTTTAAATCATTTATAGTTGATAAAATCTATTTTACATTATTTTTCCGCAGCATTATGAAACGTAGCAAAAACTTTCTTTTGTAAACTTCTATGTGAGAAGACATGGGTGGTGGCCAGTTGGAGACTGGAGAAGAGTGCAAAGTAATTATATTAATCTTCTCAACTCTGAGGATTGAAACAAATGATAAGATGAAAACAAGATATATAGTACGTAGAGTCGTTGAGAGGAAGGCATAGGCAATAACATAGATAGTACGTAGTCCTGTGTTGTGGGTATGATATTTTCTTTCTTTCTTCATTCGTTTTCTTTCTCTTGGATGATTCTAAATCGCATTAAATGTCATTCAACCTTCTTTTTCATGGAAAACTTGGTTATGGGGCATAAAGTTTTTGTCTATATATTTATCTTTTACAACTTAATTGCTTCTATGATGAGCAAGAAGGATAGCTACATGAGTGAATGCTTCATATAGATTAGAAAAAGAATTTAGTTTCACAATTCCCCAAAAAATCTTTTCTATTGCTCTAAGTCTTAATAATAGCACGGCTGTAAGAAGCTGGCCGCGTAATTAAGTTTTATCTGGTTTTTTATGGAGCATTGGTTTTTCTAATTTGTAAAATAATTATACTGTTTTGGGTGCAGGACGGAATATATGATGCTACAAATAGCGCAACAGGAAGTAGGAATATGCTTATGGAAATGGTTAAAGGAAACAACCCCTTAGAGTTTTATCACAACTACTAAAACCTTCATCTAGATTGAAAGCATTTGGTTTTCGGAAAAGTAATCAAAGGAATTGGGTGCTTTGTTTTGTTGAACATGTGATAACTGGTGTTAGTGATCTTTCTTAAAAAACATATATTTTTAACAAACCATTATAAACCCCGGTAAAAAGCTGAGTTCCCATAATGTAACTTTGGTATTAATTTGAGTTCTATATATTTTAATACTCAACTTTCTTAATTATAGAAAAAAAGTTAAAAAGCTCCTTTAACTTACAAATATATAGTAGTATCTGCTCTAAATTCAAATTTATGAATTAACTCAAAGTATGTTGCTTATAACTATCACATTATCATAGAAAGGAGGGTTTAATAAATTTAAACATGAATTTTTACAACGCCGCGAAGCGCGAGTATAAACTAGTGTATAAATAATTCTCTCTATATATATATATCAGAGTTTAGACAAATAAGAATAAATTACCAAATGGTTTGTCTCTATCCACACCCTTGAATGCTGTTATATACTATATGTACCTGATAACAGTCTAAGATGGAAAAACTGCTTCGCTAGTGAGAACTACTTTTCTTCTTCGTTTTCCCAACAAAATAATACATATATATGTGCGTGTATGTGTGAATGTTTATATATATGTATGTATGTAACTATGTATGTATGTTTGAAGTTGTTTACCCTTAAAATTGGATAACAATTAAACTTATAATGAGACTTTAAGGATACGCGATTTCACTTAATACCGATAAACAAATATGAAGATTAATGACAGAAATGAACTATAAAATAAAGCGAACCAGTATTGAAACGGAATTCAACCCTCGAGCTAGGGTGCCATCGAACTGATTGATACCAAAATAGTTAAAAATAAATAAGATGATGAACAAGAAAGTATAAGCTAAAGAGAGAGCGTTATATTGGCTTTTTTACGTGAGAACAATGTGTTACAAATGGTTAATATTCCCCTTTATATAGTAGAGGAGTTTCACTTATGGTATAACTCTAATTACAGAAGAAAATCTCATGATTAGCTAATTAACCGTTTCTGATTTGATCCGTTCTGAGATTTACGCCATGATCCTCGACCAACCACCGAGATTTACGCTATGATCCTCGACCAGTCACGGATATCTCGCATTTCTGTTATTATGCTATCTTCGATCTTGCTCGATGTCTGTCTTGTTTAGCTTCGATCGCTACTAGCCTCGATCTTGACAGGTACCTCGGTTCTGAACTCGGTACCTTATCCTCTTGATATGGCCTATTCCGTTATGAGGCCATCCTTCGATGCAAACTCCCAGTCTCGGTCAAATAGTAAAATCGGGTGGGCCCGATTTTAACCGTATACAGATAGTCCCCTCATTTTTTTGAAGTGTAATGACAAGAAACGAATTGAGCCTTCGATTTTCTATCTCGACCTGTCATGATGCCATCTTTGTGACGTAAGCGACGGAAGTGACTGAAACGACTCGACTGTACAGTTACCAAGGTATTAAATACACGTCGGTCGATGGTCGGCCACCACCAATATTGAACCGTCATTGTGAAATTTATAAATAGCCCATCTCTCCACCA